ATTACTAATGAGAGTACAACTAGCCATACATGCAACTTTTCATTATTTATTTAAGTAGTTTGCTCTAGGTTTTACACTAGCTACTGTATCTGCACCCCAACTATAGAGGATACCCATTTAAACCCTCTGGCTCTATCTCTGTAACATGTTTACTCTAATACTCTATTGATATTAGCAATGCTATGAAATGACTCTAAGACTTTAGCCACATAAATATTTATCCTTGTGTAAACCTAACAGAGTGGTACATGTTCTACACATGTACTCACCTGCATGTTTGGTAACTTTTCTCCAAATTTATTATATTTTTATATTCTAAATAAACTTGTTCTATATATAAAAATATATTATTTTAATATATATTTACTAAATATTTGTAATTTTTAAGAAAAGCATATTTAATTTTAAATTTTTAATCAAAAATTTCAAAATTAGATATCTTTTTTTAAAATTTTTTTTTTTTGTTGTTAAAGGTGAAACCTTGCTCATATCTTTATTAAATAATTTATATAAGTGGTTATATAAGAGTATTTACTATATATACAGCTTAATCATAAGATATGAATACATATAAATTACTTGCAAGAGTAAGAGCTTAGACTAATTATCTGCGATCTAAACCTACTAGAGTAGTCAAGACTCACAAAGAATAAAATTTAAAATAATAAAGTAAATATATACTTATATAATATATTTTTATATATAGAAAAGTTTACTAAGAGTATAAAATATAATTAATTAATAAAATTTTGAAAATTTTAATATTTTTTATAATTTATTAATAAAATTATAAGAAATAATATAATCCTCAATATTTTACTAATTAATAATATTTTTATACTTAAAAGTAGACTTGTTTTATATATAAAAATATATCATACACATATTAGCAGTTATATATCAGAATTCCAAAACTTAAAATCTTGATATTCAAAATTTTAGCAACAAAATCTCAATACACAAAATTCTGATATATTAAAATTCTAAAAAATTAAAATTAAGATTTTAATTTGTCAAGATTTTGTGTATTAAGATTTTGTTGCCAGGATTTTGTGTGTCGAGTTTTTATATATCAGGATTCTGATATACAACTTATATTGGCATATATTTATTTTATATTTGTAAATTTTAAGAAAAAGATATTTAATTTTTGATTATGTATAGAACAAGTTTATTTAGAGTATAAAAATATAATTAATTAATAAATATTGAGAATAGAAATAATTTATTTATTGCTCACCTCATTATTTTTTTTTTAAAAATAAACAAACCTAAAATGTTAGCAGGTTAGAGTTAAGTGTATTATATGTAAAATCATATAAAGAATCTTTTTTTTTAGAATCTGAAAAATGATTTTATAAACAAATTAGTGAAATATTAGCAATTTTTAAAAAGTTTTTTTGTTTTATTATACAAAGATTATTACACATATTACATCTTATTTTGCATGTTTATTGAATAATTTTAGGAAGTAAGTAATATCAAATCTCACCCTGGGTGAGAAATAAATGTACTCTTGAGAATAATACTATTTTTTATAATTTTATTAATAAAATTATAAAAAATATTAAAATTCTCAAAATTTTACTAATTAATTATATTTTTATACTCTAAGTAGACTTCTTCTATGAATAAAAATACATCATATTAGTATATATTTACTTTATTATTTTAAATTTTAAGAAAAAGATGTTTAAATTTAAAATTTTTAATCAAAAATTCAAAATTTAGCAGTACTGAACCTGAACCTATACTTGCCCAAAGTTCAGTGCAGTTCAGGTTTATAGAAAATACTAATTATTAAATTTGTTAATAATCACCAATTCTACAATTTTATAGTATAGTAGAATTATAGATTGTTTGTAGAATAATTCTACACATGTGAAATTAATTCTTCTGCATCTCTATATGTAATTACAATAGTTGTTATTATCATACTACCAGGTATTTAAAGGCCAAATCTAGTAAAAATAAATTATAAAATTGAAAGCTCGAGGTATGATTTCTCATTTACAATAGTTTATCAATTAGTAATAAAATTTTATTAATTTTTTATTTAATAATATAACTTATTAAACCATACTTAAATAAAAAACTAAAATTTTTTAGATTGCAAGAAAACTTTGCTAAAACAGAAAGCTTTTTCTTGTGTAATATTTTACAATAGAGTTTTTGTAATCTGTGCTAAACTATGTTGATCTTTAAATGTAAAAGAAATGTATAATAATATGGAAGGCCAAAATAGTATATTATAGGGCGTAGAATATGTATCTTTTTAAAAGTCCATATATACCATACTAATCCCCGATCACTATGTCAAGATCACGGGTAATAATTATTACTTATACCCATACTCTACGAATTTGGTCACCCACACCATTTCTTCCACGCACTCTTTCGAGTAGCCTTGTCTTTTGGTTGTGTTTTGGCTATGAATTATAGTCACCCCAGATTCGCCCTTTTACAATGGCTACGTTCCTGGTATTCAATTTTTTGGTTTTATTAAATTCGATAAATACGGTTTTATTAAATTAGAATTTTCGGTTTTATTAAATCTGAATATAAAATATTAGAATCGGGTTGAACCGGTTTTAAATTCGGGCGCAACAAACCGGTTCCAACCTCTAGCTTCTGTAATGTTATGTTCATAAAAAGTACTCTAAACCATATAAATAAGTTACCCGGACAATTAATTTGCATTAGCCAATCAACCAAATTTCTGCCTATGAGTTTGAACTACGGATCTTGGGTTGGAACCACGCACAGTGGTTTGAAACCTTAGATCTTGGTCCAAGATCACCAATATTAGCTTGTGATTCGGAATTTTTGTTTTAGACCATCATAATTTGAAATGTATAATTATGACAGTTAAGCTAATAAAGAATGCAACTTTTCTGCTCCAACAAAAAACTAAATAAAGAAAATACGTATCCTATCATAACTATCGTCATAAATAAAATCCATGAAGCCCTTAAAAATCCGTTATACTCTTAATTAAGTGTAAAATCTCGGCCCTAGCAATTCCAGATACGTACTGAATAGATCGATAACCTTAAATGCTACGGCACTTTATTACTCACACGACCTCAATATAAGAACCGACGTCATGTTCCTTCCAGAAAGAAATTACCAACTAACTCACCTTCCTTTACGCATTGGAACTCAAGTTTATGCTTGTAACCCCGAGTTAATCGTCGCCACAGTAGAAAGTCTCTTCCACAATTACAACAATACCTTTTGATCAGTAATTTGAAAGTTAGTTGAGTATCATTTTTGAAATCTCTACTGTTACTTCTATTTTGTTACATATATCCTAACATGTCTTTTTTCTTTAATATTTTTTACAAGCTAAAACTATGAATTGTTTTTTTAGATCTATTTTGCATAAATTAGATTTTAGAACTAATTTGTTGATTAAAATGCATCTAAAGTTCGGAGCATAGTTTAGAAATCCATAAAACTAAGTTTTGGTTGATGAATACTTGACACGATGAAATTTTATGTGTAGGTATTTAATTTACTCAACTTAGTTTGCGAGGTAATTATTAGTTAATAAATATATATATATGAATTAACGATTTAATTATATAATTTATAGAAGAGTCAACTTAAAGATATTTTATATCATTCCAATTTTCACAATATATAGTAATATTTTAAAAGTAAGTTTGTTAAAAATTATAATATTTTTTGTGTTAGAGGTCAAAATATTTATAGTATTGGAGAAATTATGTTGGAAATATCAAATGCTGTAATTGAAATAAAGTTATATACAATCAACACTCTTTATAATGAACCTCTCTATAACGAATTCTGGATATAATGAACTAAAAATTTTTGAATTTCATGTTAGTTCGGTATAAAAAGAGTTATGGTTTCTTAAGTAAACACAATAATTTTATAGAGAGAATTTTTTTTATAGCCAGAACCAACAGTTCGTTATATACTGTATAATAAATAACTAGCTTTGTCATTGTTTTGAGTGTAATTTGTATGGTTTTGTATGCGATTGTATGTATATGTTTTCTTCTTATGTATATTAACTTTATGATATTGATATAAATTTTTACTTCAAGTTATTTTTTCGCCTTGGTTCTATTAACATTTAGTTAATAAAATTTTATTCTATGAAAATTTCAAGTTAAAAGTAAATTTACTATTAATTTAGTGTTTTATAAAAATTTTAAGTTAATATACTATATTTGCAATATAAATACATTCATTTAAATCTAGTTTTTTTTTTCTTTTAAAAATAAGAGAATATTATTCATAATGAAGAATAGTCATAACCTAACCATAAATAAAATAAATTTATATCTTAGATCGTACTATATTCTTCTCTTTCTGATATTCTATAATAAAATAGTAAATTTTTGATAAAACATTAATTGCAAGCATTACTGCACTTATAATAAGCGTTGAAAATGGAAGAATATTGTAGGTAAAAACTCTTTCTCGATATATAATCTATTAATATTACAAAATATTATAAAATAATAAAGATTAAATTATAAATATAAATATAAACATTATAAAAAGAACGTACCTGAATAATTAAATGCGGTATATCTTCAATGAATATATTCAATGCAGAACTATAGTTGATCCAATTTATTGCATGCACAGAAAGTGGAGCTAAAAATATTTTAAATCCACCAAACTTTGAATTAAATAAATTCAAAGCTTCAATATCAGCACCAGATAAAATTGTGAGTATTGCCAAGATTTTTGTATTTTCAGTAAACCAATCACAAAAATGCAAATTATAACGAGTTTCTCTTGTAAGAATTAAAAGTGTCAAATTTAAGTTTATAATGATTTGTAAAATAAGGAAAAAAGATACTAATGATGGAAATAATAATAGATAATAAGCATTTCGAAGAGAGTAATATCATAAGAAACAAATTTATGTACGTACCTGGAAATAAATATGTCATTAAATTCATGACCATCATTTAAGATAAATAAAATGTTCAAGATAAAATCCAAAATAATTAATATCACTTTAAAGACAGCAAACGCACTTCCCTGTAAACAAATATAATTATTTAATATAATTATCTGTTATATTGATTCTTTTTGATTATACCAAAAATTAAGTCTACCTCGGGATATTTTTTTCTTGACCAGAGATAAATGACTACGAATATTAGACATGCGGCACCCATCCCCAATAGGTAAAATTTAATTTCATTCCAAAGATTTGCTGCATACAATTAAATTGTTAAAATTGCTATATAATATATGCAACATTACACAAAATAGATGTATAAACATACGAGCTTGTTGAAAGCCATAGCCTGAATCCAAAAATATTGAAAGATTTTGTTTTGCAAGAGAGCTTGCATCTTTATTATTTATTATGGTGTTTAGATCTGTAATAATGCTTTTCACGTCAGGCTCCATTGATGACTCTGCTTTATTTATCAAGAATTCTACTAAAATCTGATTATGAGAAGTAGGATCAGGGGTGGTACGATTGGTTGGAACCAAACGATTCGTATCGCTTATTGGAATGCAATCAGTCAATTGTTTTTGTAACATTTCAAAAAAACTGGTTTTTGATGAAAGACCATTGTAATATCTAGATCCATCTTCGGTCAAACGCAATGTCCCAGTGGTAGATTCTGAAAAATAAACAATAAAGTGAGTCAAATCATAAAGTTGTTGATTTTAAAAGTTGAAGTAGGTTTCAGATAGGCCAGTGTCATTAAA